GCAGGCCCAGCAGCGGAGTGGCCTGGCTTACCCCGGGTCTGGCAGCCAGTCAGCAGCCCCTCCTGTCAGCCTGACTGCGGGCTGTGCGAGTCCTGGGGCATGGAGGCTCAGACTGCAGCTCTTGGAGGATCCGGGCTGCGCTGGAGCTGTGCAGGCAGTGGGGAGATTAGGGAGGGAGATCGTTAGGTAGGATGCATTCCCAGACCGGAGCAGTGGCCTCTCTCCGAGCGTCACTCACCTTGGAGAAGAGCCAGAGGGATGTCGTCTTAGGGGAGGGTGGGTGAGCTGCTCTTCTTAAACACTGTTGGCTCTTCTCTCCCCTGCTCAGGTGATCATATTTCTGAAGAAGAATGTTATCCTGACTGGAGGGTTTGCTGGGGGATTCCTGCTTGGAATGGCGTCCTAGAATCTGTGCTCGACTCTCCCTTCATGCCCAGCCTCCCCTGCCCTCCTCTACTGCTGTTCTCTCTCACTTAGACGTCAAAGGATGTTGCCGACAGGCTCAGTCCCTTCTGCTCACAGGTTCCAGCCCTTATTTCTTACAACTCTGCTTCTGATTTCCAACTTGTTCCCTGCTGTGGGCTGTTAGGGTGCTGGGATCACTCTGAAAGCTTGTCTCCTGGTGTATCATTGTGATCCCTTTCCCCACCAAATATGCACAGTCCCAAATTTTCTGATGAGTTGCAGCCTCAAACATGTAGTGGCAGAGAAATCTCTTTAAATACACTTCTTCCGGGTGCTCAGGGCTGTTACGTTTGTCTGCCAGTATATGTGCACCGCAGCTGTTCGCTGCTATTTAGTGTGCACTTTTTTTTGCCCCGGCACCTGGAAACCCTGCGCTTCCCTGTGCACAGAGTGTGCGATCCAGAGCGTGCTTGGCTCTCCTGGGGCGGATGCAGAAGTGTCAGGGGACAGCCCGCGTCCAGGGCAGGTGGATAAGGAGCAAATTCATGCTGTATGGGGTGCTGGGGGTTCTCCTGCCCTCCCCCGGCCGTCGCGCTGCATGCCGAACGCCTTGTGGTTTCTCCTCTGCTGGTTATTTATACCCCTTGCTGGAACTGCGGCGCTGCTGATGGAAACTGAGCGCCCTGGGAGACTCACCAGGCCCTTCCCTCATCGTGTGTCCTGAAAGTCGCCAGGCTTCCTGCACCTTTCTCGCTTGCTGGCTGACTGCTCGGACTTTGAAACGTGCCGCGCACTCCTTTCCAGCCTGCTTGACCTGTCTGGGGTGAGCTGGCCCAGGCGGTGTGGGTTTACTCTAAATCACCTTGGGCCTCAGACTGGTGTTTCTTGGTCTGCTGTGACCTCCTGTGGCCAGTTTGGCGTTGGTGATGCTCTTGGAGCTGTAACCGCGTGGGATGGGCTTGTAGACGTGAAAGGCATCCCTGTTCAGGGTACGTTGTACTGCTCCAGGGTCCTTGTTGCCAGCTCTAGGCAACAAGGTGAGGGGTGAAATCTGGAGTGCAGCCTCTGCAGAGCGCAAACTCCATCTCCCTGGTCTCTGCAAGCAACTGCAATGCCAGAACTGTAGGAAAACCAGTCTGTGCTCCTGTGGGATTGGCTTATTTCCCTACTTTCTGCCTTGGTTATGTTTCTTCCTTCTTCACATTTACCTTTTCCACCAAAAGAACCCTGCTGCTTGCTTAATTCCACCGGCTGCAGCCCTTTTCCAGCTGGTGGTGAGCAGAGCTCAGCTGGTTTGGGAGAGCCTGTCCCAGTGCTGCCGGCTGCTGAGCAGAACTCTGGCCTGCAGGAGAAAACGAACAGCGCTCCCGTCGAGGTGTTCTGTGCTGAGCTGCAGATCCCGCTTTCTGGGGTGTGGGGACATCCCACAGCAGGTACATGTAGGAATTTTTGCCAGGAATGTGGTTTTCTGTGGAAGTTGTCCCATCCTTCCATGGGAAGGACGTGCTGGGGAACGCTGACACGTACGGGCGATGGGGACGCAGCGGCAGCGCCCCATCTCGGTGCTGTGCGTTGCCTTTCCCATCATCCGCTGCTGCTCTCCCTGCGGCTAAAAACGGGGATCTTCCCCGGAGAGCTGCTGGAACAGTGGGTTCTTCCACCAGACGTTTTGGGATGAGCCCTTGGAGTTGTTAATTTTGTTTCAGCTCTGTGAACGGAAGCGTGGATGTGGGAATGCGCTGATCTAGCTGAGGGTGGGTCACCGTCAGGACCTGAAAAGAGGTCGCAGGTGATGGGGAAACAGAAGTTGGCAACTTTGCTCCTGTCCTGCCCGACGTGGCCAAGGAAAAGGAAGGGCTCACGGCCCTCCGTGATGGTCTGCCTACCCGGGGCTGCGGGAGTGCTGCAATGCAGCAGACGGGGGTTCAGCCCCACGGTGTTTGGGAGCGGAGACGCAGCTGCTGGTGGTGGTTTGTAGGAGCCCCGCGGGGCTGAGCCTGCAGGAATTGATGCATTCGTGTTGCAGGGTATCCCTCGTTCCCGTAGGAAAACAGCCCTGCTGGCTGGTGTGCTGCGTAGCGCAGCCCCTTGGGAGAGGCACCGATCGCGTGGCAAAGCTCAAAGTGAATCGTTAACTACCTTCGGGGTGTTTTTCAGGCTCTCTAAGTCGCTATTTCTGCCCAGCCCCAGGGAAAGGGGAGTCCCAGGTTCTGCTCCGCGGGGTCCCGACTTGCTTCTATGGAGGGAAACGGCCCAGAGAGGGAGATAAACCGTCTCGGTTGCTGCTGGAAGGGGACACGAGTGACTTGTTGGGTTTGGTGTGGAGGCAGGCAGGGAACGGACATTGGGATCTGGCAAATCCTGCTGCTCTGCCGGCGCTGGGCTCGTGGCTGGCACCGTTAGATGCCGCGGGGCCGCGCGGGAAGCTTGGATGCTGGCCCAGCCTCTGTGGGGACGGGTTTGCGCTGTCGCAGGCGCCAAGGCGAGGGTGTTCCCCCTGCTCCCCTCCCTGCTGCTTTTGGTCTCGTTTCAGCAACTTCTGGCATCTGTTCCAGTACGAGAAGGTTGAAAACACACTAGGCTTTTACAGTGTTTTTATATATTTTATGTAAATGCTTGTTGAAGTGGATATTTTATTAAACGGTTTTGCTCTAATAACTTCCAAGCGTGAGGTCTGTGACTTGTTTTGTCTCGCCCCGCGGGTTGCGTTTGACTCAACGGGGGCCACTGCAGCCGCCCCGGTGGCACGAGGCCGCCGGCCTTCCCTCTCCTCTGCGGGTAACCGCAGGCTGCCCAAAGAAATCCCTCTCCTTGACGATCCCGGCACCGGCCACCCGCGTTCCCGAAAGGTGGGATGCTTCCGGGGCAGGAGGCGACGCAGCTGCCAGGATCCTCCCTGCTGAGCGGGTTTGCTCCACCCGCCGAGGAACGGGCTTGATGAGGATTTTTCGTTCAATAGGTGCCACGGAAGCCTACAAACTTCCTTTTTGTCATCCGTGACTTCCCACGCTGTTCCTGCGTGGGGCAAAAGGAGCTTTGAGAAGCGTTGGTGCTGCCTCGTAACGTTTCCAAGAATACCAAACCCCCCAGTTTGGTCTGAATGACTGATCTTGAGCCCCGCTTAAAAAACCCCCACCCAGCCGCTACTGAAGCGCGCTGACCTCCGCGTAGCCACGGCAGCCGAGCTGCCTGGTGTGTTGTGCTCAATAAATAACCCAGCCCGGACGCCGCTTTGTTCCAGTCGTTTTATTTTGTATCACGGTGTTTCAGAGCAGTGGATACAGATGGTTTGCCCTTCCAGGCTCGGACGCGCTCAACTACTGTGCCTAGACTACGGCGGTCCGGTCGTAAAAGCTGTATTTCGTAAGTTAAGTTGCACAAAAGTCCTCTGACAGCTAGATCTAACGACAGAGTTAGGGGCCTAGTGGGTGTGAAGTCTGGTATTCGGGTGTCTAGGCCCTGTGAGGTGGGCTCAGCACCCACGGAGGTGCCTGGACTCCTGCTACAGGGGACGGAGAGACTTGAGCAGCTCTGAGGGGTGATGCAGGAACCTGTCTACCGAGCTCTTTCTACAGGTCACAGGAAAATTCTGCTGCACGGGTGAAAGCTTCTGAAAAGCCATCTCTATCTCCCCCACCCCCGGGGTCCAGACGCAGCCGGCTTGTGAGTGAGTCTGGAAGCTGTGCCGAAAGCGCGTGCCTACAACTGCTTGTTCAGTAAGCCGCACCTAAATCAGTTCTTGGATCTAGCCCAGGGCTTTGTGACAGGCCTCTGGGTACCAGCGGGTTGACCTACGCTGGGTTCGTAACCTATTGCTTAGAGGTGTTCAATTACACGTAAATTTATAAATTTAATACCAACAGTCAGATCTTTCAAATGAATATTGCTTTTTTTTTCTTTGTTTGTTTTAAAAAAAAATTTCTGTTCCTGTAGCAATCCCTGAAATAATGTTCCTGTAACATCTTTGTCATGCAAATAGCAGCGTGTAGGCGATTCAAATATAAAGTAACCAAACGTCTGTCCAGCGGGGAAGTGAGGCACTTAGGCAAAAAGTGACCTGCGGTCACTCGTGATCTCTGCAAGACCCAGGAACAAGCCCCAGACCCGATTCCCATTCTTGAGCTTAGACCACTGGACAGGCAGATGTCGTCTGGAGCCGCTGCGCGACGGCAGCGGCGCCTTTGCTGTGTCAAGATGGGCTCGTTACGTGCGTCGTGTTTAAACTCACTCACTCGTCAGAGCTCGTTTCCTGTACCTCTCGCTCCAGAAGCCGGAATAACTGGGTTCCAGTTCTCCATTTTGAGAGCAAGGGATGGATCAGAGTAAGGTAAGCATCCTAAAAACATCAAGTTGACTTTTCACAGACAACGGGTGCGACGCAAAGACAATGCAGACGATGTTTTGGTACAGAAAACAGAGTCTGTGAACCAGGCCATCCTGCCGGCGCTGCGGTACGCTTTTTGGTGTGCCGGATGGTGTGTTCGAGGAGCGATCTGGCTTTCCTGAAAGTCTAAAGAAGGCTTGGAAAAACAAAAAACCACACACGAGCTCTGCAGGTGAGTCCGCGCTCCGGCACCTGCTGGAGCTGCATGGTGTTACTGGGGGGGCGGGGGGATTCCTTCCGAAGTCGCCTTCAACTTTTCTCTCTCCCTTTCTTCTTTCTCAAACCCTGAACAACAGACGGATCTGCCCTTGGGGTATCGGGCGCAGCACTTCCGCATTTCCTGAAGCACGGTTTCACACTTGGACTCCACGTAGTTGTTCACTGGAAAAATAAGAAGGAGATGCTAAGTCTGTCCCCGGAGGGGACACACCTGGCCCAGCCCTCCAGCCGCTGCTGCGTTCCCCCGAAAAGCCAGAGCTGCTCACAAGCATCTCATCCCTTCGCTCTACAAAACCTCTCTCTTCGGCGTCAGCCGTCGAAGGCCGCGCAAAGGCAGCCCTGCTGCTGTGGGCGGGCGCATCTCCCGTCCCCCGGTTTGGGGGCCATCACCTCGCTGCTGTGAGAACGAGGCTGCGGTTACTGCTGCCCGTCAATCCTCACTTCCTTTAGCCCTGGGTGTTTTTAAGCCGGATGTTGTTATCCACGGTCTGCGACCCAGCTAAGGTTCACAGCCAAGGGTAAGAGCCTCCAGGGCGGACCTGGTGTAAACGGGGACACGTGCACCCTTCGGCACCCAGGGTTTGTAAAGGGACGGGGAGCGGGACCGCCAGCCTCCTGCTGCAGGCAGGCTGGGGCCTGGCAGCGTGACCGAG